GGAGTTCCTGTAAACAACGTATGGGCGTCAAAAAGATCCAAACACGCAAAAGAACAAGCAGTGCTGCCACAAAGGAACGGGAGCACGAAGACGTGTCTCTAACCTGTGCCGGCAGAGCACAAACCCTCCCGGGCAGCGCCGGAGGTGCGATCGCTTGGTCCTGCCGTAGCACGGGTGTTTCCTTCCATCTTCTCGCAGGTGTGGTACATCAGAGAATGCACCTTAGATGCTTCGTATCCAACAGATGAGCGAGGCTGGGTGCATCTCGTGCCAAAAATGGAATAGTGGTGGCTTAGCGTGCAAGAAAAAACAATTATGCTGTTCCCTGAAGTAGCACTGACAACAGTTTGTCCGTTCAGTATGTTTATGTTTTCAGGAATTGTTAGCTATTAATGTTTTCACGAGCATTTTATAGTCATTGTTTGAACTAACACTTTTGTTTCCTGTTGTGGACTCAAGCACTCAAGAGCTATTAGGTTTTCCTTTCTGTTACTGCTTTTCTCCCCACAAACTGATGGGAAGACACTCCAACAGTAACAAAATGGAGTGAAAAGCTTCAGAGTCAGTACCCGAGAGAATGGCAGGGGAGAAGCTTAGACCCCTGTAAATGTTTTCTGCTGTTCTGTTTGCTTTTCTTCTCTGTGTGACTCGGTATAAAACTACCAGGAAGAAGAGTCTTGTCTTCCTAAGGAGTTTTTCTTATGGGAAAAAAAAATTTATTGTCATGAAATGTTATTTGAGGAATATTTGCTGCCTCGAGGGAGGGCTATTTTTAATGAAAGAAATAGTGCAGTTGATACCATCAGGCATCGTTAACTATCAACTGGTCTACTTGTGCCTTTCTGCCTTGAGCAAAACATAGTTAAAACAGTAGGTTTCTGTCTGGCCAATTTTGTAAGCACGTTGTCTAAATAATACCACACTCACATCTTAAAATTCCAGGTTTTAAAAAGAAAATTACTGAACAATTTTTGGAAAGGCACACTTCTCTAAAACTAACTTTCTGTTCTAAAGAGGTTTTGGGAGTCTGCTCCGGTGGGCAGTTCTCGTCACTGGTCTGTATTTCTAAACTTGGTGATACTGGGGGAGAGGAAAGGAAGATGCTCGTGTTCCTTGATGCAGTTGTTCAGGGAGTGGGAAAGTGATTTGAAGCTTGTGTTAACATAGACTGCTCGGTTTAATTTCATGAACGTTAAGGTTTGAAAACTTCTCGAAGTTTTTAAGGGACATTATCCAGTTCTTGAGATGTCTCCATTGGCTTTCTTCGGTGTAGGAGAAGATGTTAGTATTGGTGAACTGGTAGCTACTCTTCCAATTTCAAAGGAAACACACAAGTTTGCGGTGTGACTCAGCTTTACAAGAACACCGCTTTAAGCAATGTTAATCCTAGCTGACTATTCATGTGTTTTGTTTGTCTAATATCCTTGTAACGTAGCTATTCCCGTTAAAGCAAGCCAGCATCCTTTGTTCTCCTCTAAGCTATGTAAGACATGACTGCAGAAGTAGTTTGGGGCCTGAAGCTGCAGTGACTGAATGCCGCTGGAATGTAATGCGTCACATCTGGTAAAAGGGGAACAGATCCATAGCTTCCAAAATTCAGACTAGCACTTTATTTGGGGGGTGGGTAGGTGGTGGCTGGAACTAAAACATCTTTGGAAGGTGGGAGAGAAGGAAAAAAGCTTGGTTAGGTTTGAAATTCATCTTGCCTTTTTTTTTTTTTTTAAATAAATAACTGAAAATATAATAACAAACCCTGAAGACTGGTAGATTTAGATGGCAGCATTTGCCTTTCTGGGTCAGAAAAAAGATTTTTGGATACAGCTGGAAATCATAGCAATTGATGCATCTGAGCCAAGAAATAAGTATATTTGAGAGCAGCAGGAGCAGCTGGCTAGTTAATATCCTGCAGCAAATATGTGAAGGCTGGTGTTGGGGTTTGGTTTTTTTTTTTTAGCCTATAGTGTGTACAGCCATTTCCCTTTGGGGTATTA